AATTTTTTTAACCCATTCTAGGAACCAATTTCCTAGTGATTTTAAAAACTAAATTTTCTGGATCGATTTTGCATTGAATTAGACAAGATTTGAAATCAAATTGAGAGTAAGTTATACCTGATACAAAGACCATAAATTGCAACTCCCAGGGTGGAAGTTCATGCCCAATAACGATCCCAAAACTGGCATCCAAATGAAAATGGTGTAGTGTACGAGAGAAACCAATTCCTCAACTCTATTTTCAACAAAACTGCTATTCAATTTGCTTGGATCAAATGAGATGTGTGAGCTTGATTTATCCAACTTTTTTCTTGTAAAACTTAGAGGAAAAACTGATAAAACTTAGTTGTTAAAAAGACTAGATTGAATTAGAGTTTCTAGGGAAGAGGAGGGAAGAGGAGAGAGCAAGAGAGTGAAGAGAATAAGTTCTTTTTGCCCTCTTCCTCTTAATCCCCTTATATGAAGCACTATCCTATTCTAATTAGAAAATTGTCCAAATTTGGTTTGAATTTGGACTCTTTTAAGGGATAAATATTATCCTCTTAAGAGGATAGGTGCTCCATACCTAGAACTATGCACAGTTTTGACCCAAATCGACATGTTAACTAATCATATTAGTAATGAAGGGATGAGAGATCCATCATATGGATGGCTGAACCCTATAGGTAGGTTGGGCGAAATTTCAAAAATTTCTCTCCCATGTGGGAATTACATTCCCTGTTTTAGAAAATTGCACTTTCAATGATCAATTTTGAACCTAAACTAGACCAGATTTGAAACCAAAAGGTAGGAAAGGGATACACCTGATACAGAGTAGTAGTAACCCCCAACAAAGGTGTTCATGCCCAAGGAGAATAACAAAAACTACTCCCACTAAAGATGACACAGCATAAGATGGAGTAGAATCAGTAGGATGGCTCTTCAACAATAACCTGATTTTTCACCAAGAATCTGATGGAGGGCGAGTGAGCACGACTTCATATCACATTTTCTACCAAAAGATGATATCAAGAACTCTTCTTGATCACTCCTATAGGTGGAGAACGAATTGGCAATGGCGGCAATAGTAGGAGAAGGGAAGAGTAGAAGATGGCCTCAGTCCAAATATATGTTGTCTTCCCTCTTGAATTAGTAAGTCTGATGGATACTGAGGGATTAATTGGGGTTCACCCTTCTCCTCTATTTATAGCCTTAAAGAGAGGTTCTCCTAATCACTTTAGGAGTTTCCTAATCCAAATCTTGTATTTGGATCTGGACTCTCTTTAAGAGATAAGGATGATTCCTTATCTTATCTGTAGATAAAGATCAGCCCTCCTAATCTGATTAGGAGTTTCCTGATCTAAATCTCTATTTGGATCTAGACTCTCCAAGTGGATAGGGACAACCCCTTACCCTATTTGCTGATCTAAATCCCAGAACTGCCCCTCTTTAATTAATCTTATTAAGCCAGTTCGAATTGGGCTTTAAGTCCATTAAGTCCGTGTGCTCACTTATCCTCCAAACTGCTGCCTAGTTGATATCCTTATATGGCATGGGACCCAAACATTGATCTACACATCAGCCACATGGGTTCAGCCTAGCCTTTGTTAAAAGGCCTGGCCGAATTCACTATAGGAGACAGTGAACCCCTAAGACCATCACCATGGGCTCTTAATGGGCCCAACATTTACACTAAATGGTCCTTGGGTCAAGTCACCTTATAAAAACCCAAGGACTGTGGGCAGATCCAAGATTAGCTCATTAGGTATTACCCTCAATGGTCTTACACTTAACTTCTCAACCCATAATGATCAAATACTTCCCGACAAGAGAGGACCTCTCCCTCGGCTGTAAAGAATAGTGCTGCACTCTCTACTCAAATGGATCATGGGAATTAAAAACTTTTGCAAACAATTTGAATACACACACACACACACACACACGTATATGTCTATATAAATATATTTTGCAAAACACAAATTTCAACGGTTGAAATCGACTACTAACAGTTTTGGTTTTGATTAGAGAGAGTGCATCCCCAATCATTCACTTTGTCTGACAAAGGGGCTGATCCTGTCACTATGATCACCCACTTAGATGAATTCTCAAACTGTTCCAACATACCCAAGTTTTGACCCCCTCTAATGATCTCACTATTTAGAATATCAAAGACAACCCAATTCAACACCTAGTGCAGTATCATAATCGAGTCTAGGGGTCAGGTGTAACATTCCAGTTTTGCCCATCTATCTCCAAGGTCCAAGGCAATACTGGAATTCTGGTCCGATTCAAGGTTTCAAAAAAACCCACATTGCATGTACCTCAGGTCTCACCCTAGTAGTTGAGACAAGCCCCAACCAACTTGGCAATACATCAGTGTCAGCCTTGGTAGGATAAATCTCCTTAGATCTATCCAACGACTGTGAAGATTCTAAACTAACACGAGTCTTATATGTGTCCAGTTTAAGGGTATTACACATAAACATACCATAATAACATGAATCAAATATGTACTTTATTCATTTAAATGTCATAATATACATCATTCTTATTGAAGCTAAGGGCATACACTGTCTAACATGTAATTGGCTTTAGGCCCATTTGTGTTAAAGGCTCACATCCCTAAATGTTGCATAGCCACTTTATGCCTGATATTGTATGGTGTGGCACCCCACAAAGGTCTCACACAAGTCCCTGAGGGTTTAACTCCACCTCTAAAAGAGATTAGACCGAATGCACTACTTAGGGCAATAAACCCCTAAGCCAATCAACATGGGCTTAGTTTGGGCCCAACATTTACACCAAAATGTTCATTGGAATCAGCCACCTTATGAAGACCCTATGGTAATGGACTTATGTGAGATAAATCCAATTAGATAATCAGCCCTGTAATGGTCTCTTATGCTTAACCTCTCAGCCCATAATCATCAGAACACTACCTGATAGAGAAGGACATGTCTCCTGGTTGCAAGGTTCAATATCACACTCTCTGCCAGGGTGGATCCCGGGATTATAACCTTTTGTAAGAATTTTGCATTAAATAGCAATATAATGTATACATATATTTTGCAAAACCAGATTTCAAACATAGATGAAATCCATTACCGGTAGTTTAAGTTTCCATTAGAGAGAGTGTATATCCTAATATTCACTTTGTCCAATGAAGGGGCCAATCCTATCACTATGACTATCCACTTAGGTGATTTCAAACTACGTCAACATGCCTAGGTATTTGACCCTTGATGGATATCACTAGTTGGCATATCGAAGACAACTCAGTCTAACACCTAGTGCAGTACCATAATCAAGGGTCAAATACCTGGGCATATTGATCTGGTTGAATGCTTCTCGCAAGAACCCATTAGTTGTGCTTGGGGTCTAACCCTAGTAGTTGAGACAAGCTGCTGCAAGTGTTTGGTAGCACACCTTAAGTCTATCAAATGGTTGAGAATATTATAAACTAACAAGAGTCTCTTAAATGTCCAGTTTAAGGAGTAATACACAGAAACCATACCAATATGAATTTAAAAAACAATGTACTTTATTCATTTATAAATAAATATTTATGTACATCAGTTTGATTGGAGGTAAGGGCATATACAATCTAACAAAGGTTGCGTACAACTTTGACAACAACTTCCGATTTCCACTCGTTGGTAAGAATGAAGTTCAATACATGTTTATTCTGTCTAGCAAATTTCTATTCTTTTTGATAAATAAAACACTTTATGACACCTTATCAAAATATGAGATATTGGGTAGAAAACTTATGATCGGCCCATGCTAGGACTAAAGAAGAACAACTCTACGAGGCACATGTAAAACTATGAGAGAACATATTGGAGTTTTGAAAGCTCAGTTTGCAATTCTTAAAAGGATGGCACCTTTCAAATTTCTTGTTCATAGGGACATAGTCATTGCATGCTTCATCATCCATAAGAATTTGAGAAAGGAAGCAATAGTTGATAACCTTTTCAATAACTACAATTAGCCCAATATGAAACTACCTAATGAAGATGTAAAGGAAGTAGAGACAAGATAACACGACCATGGAGGGACATCTCATGGGCAAGTTTATGCATAGTTCATGATTTCATCGTGAGAGGAAACTTCACAAGAAATTGATCTTAGTTGTATACTTCAACTATTTACTAGAACTACTTACTTATTTTTAGTGTACTATTCTGATTATGTGCGTGAACAAATTTGTTAATATGTAAGGACAAATGGTTGTTAAGCATTTTCCAATCATTTGTGCATGTGGAGCTTAGCTATGTGGAACTTTAAGATATTATTTTCGTAATAACTAAATAAATTTTCATTGCTTTATTGAATTTATTAGTAATTTCAATATTATTTTAATTTTTAATTTTTATAAGTTTATTTATATGAATTATTAAATATTTTATTGTTTTTTAAGATATTATTTTTCTAATTATCAAATAATTTTCAATTTCTCTATGGAATTTACTAGTATTTTCAACACTATTTTATTTTTTAATAATTAATAATTACTTTTAGTTTTTTATAAATTTTAACCATATTATTAAATATTTTTTATTAGTTATTAAATATTTCATTACTTTCTAAGATATGCTTTTGCAAACCATTAAATATTTTTCCAATGCTTTATGTAATTTATCAATATTTTCAATATTATTTTTTTAATAATTAATTTTAAATTTTTATAAAATTGATTTATATTGGTTATTAAATATTTTATTTGTCTGATTAGTAAATTTTTTCCATTGCTTTATGGAATTTATAAGTATTTTCAATATTATTTAAAGTTTTTATTATGTATATTTAATTTTTACTTTTTACAATTTATAATATTTTAATTCTTTTAATTTTATTTATTGTTTAACAATTTCTTGGATGATAATGTATTAAATGGTGTGAACTGATGAATTCAAAGCTATCAAAGGGGTAAAGTAGTAAAATCAAACAATTTCATATTGAAGAATTGATCCACACAAAGAACATCTTTCTAGCTTTTTAGACTTCAGATTTGTCAAATGCTATGTGTAGATTCGAGGAGCTAACTTTTGAGCGAGTGTACAAGTTCTGCACTGGTCTTCACAGAGAAGAGGTGGATTATGGAGTTAATTCCTGCCAGCTTGATGAGATTGTGGAACTATTGGGAGCTCCGACTAACGGTTGTAGTCAGCCTCTCATTGCAAATCATTCTCATTTTCTTAGGTAACCGCAGAAAGTATATTACCAGAGACCTAGTTAAAATCATTCTCTGGCTTGCCTATTTGTCAGCAGACTGGGTAGCTACTGTTTCTCTCGGCATCCTTTCCAGAAACGAACAAGATTTCCTTGAAAGTTATGGTAAATTTCATCCTTTAGACCCAAAGATCGAGCTCAGCTCATTTTGGGCACCATTTCTTTTGTTGCATCTCGGCGGTCCCGATACCATCACTGCATATTCCATAGAAGATAACGAGTTGTGGTTAAGGCACTTGCTTGGATTAAGCATCCAAGTCGGAGTGGCAGGGTATATTTTCCTCAAGTCCTGGAATGGTAGCCTGATTTCGATTCTAACCATTCCAATGTTCGTCGTTGGAATTCTCAAGTATGGGGAGAGAGTATGGATTCTCAGATCTGCAAGCAAAGACCACTTTAGAAACTCTGTGCTCGGTCCTCCCGATCCGGGCCCTAATTATGACAAATTCATGGAAGATTTTGATTGTAAGAAAGCAGAAGGATTCCATGTGAGGATGGAAGAGTTGGGCGGAGAATCTCAGAGAGTGGATAGCATCAATGTCACTGATATTGACATTCCTACACTGATAGATGGAAGGCTCCCTGATTCGGACATTTTACCAGTAGCCCATTACTTATTCAAGATGTTTGAGCCCCTTTTCGCGGATCTGATCCTTAGTTTTCAGAATGGGAAAAAGAGCAGATCCATTATTCAGAAGGCATCTTCAGAAAATGCTTTCAGAATCATCGAGGCTGAACTAGGATTCGTATTTGATGTGCTCTATACCAAGGCTCCTGTTCTATACACTCCCCTGGGCTGTCTTCTTCGCCTTATCACCCTTTCTTTCACCGTTTCTACATCCCTGGTTTTCTTGGCCGCCGACAAGCATCGCTATTCTAACGCCGATGTGGTGATAACTTACCTGCTTCTGGCTGCAGCGATTTGTCTGGAGTTCTATGCAGTTATTGTACTAATCTCCTCAGACTGGGCAATAGTTTGGGTAACCAAGCACAAGATTCGAGTACCAACTTTTATCCGTCGAGTCCCTCTTCTACTCTCTCCCATAATCAACAAAAGGTGGTCCTATTCAATGGCACAATACGATCTATTGTGCTATTCCCTCCAACGAAAGCCAACTATACTTCCTGGAATCCGTTATCTGTTTCGCTTCTGTAAAGCCTTGGAGAATTACCATTATACGTCATTCGTTAATGTCCCTGGTGAACTCAAAGATTCCATCCTTCATCAGCTCAAGAACAAATCGGAAAAGGGTACAACTGATTATAGAGATTTCAAACATTTCTGCATGCCACTAGTTCAGTCTTGTATACCAGATGAAATGAAGGATAAATTCAAGAAGATCCACTGGAGTCTTGGTGTAGAATTTGACCGAACCATTCTTGTCTGGCACATTTGTACAGATCTCTGCTATTACGAAGAAGAACAATCAGGAAATAGCAATTCCCAGCGTCAAATGTGCAAGTTTGTATCTGACTATATGCTGTATCTTCTTGTCATGCGTCCCTTCATGTTGCCTAACGGAATAGGGTTGATCAGGTTCCGGGACACTTGCGAGGAAGCTAAGGAATTTTTCAGCTACAGACGATCAATAAAAAATGAAAGCCAAGCTTGCAAAATGTTGCTTAATGTGAACACTGAAGTTTCGCCAATTGAAGTGAAAGGAGAGAGAAGCAAGTCCGTATTATTTGATGCAGTTATCCTTTCTAAATGTTTATCATTTCTAGAAGCAGAGAAATGGAAATTTGTGAGCACTATGTGGGTGGAGATTCTCTGTTATGCCGCTAGTCAATGTTCTTGGACATACCATGCTATGCAGCTCGGACGGGGAGGAGAGCTTCTCACTCATGTCTGGCTTCTAATGGCACATTTTGGTACAACTAATCAATTCCAAATACCGGACGGCCACCCGAGAATCAAATTGATTGTAGAATGATAAGGTTGCTATACAACCAAGGGTTTGGGAGTTATGGGTAGTGGGGAAGGGTACCCCCGTTGTGTAGCTCCATCAAAGAAAAATTAAATAGCAATAAGGGTAAAAGATTTAAATATACCCTCAATTTTCAGAAATTGATATTGTAGGTACATGTTCACCACGACCGCAATGGCAATGAAGGCACTCAATCCATGCTATAGAGACACCCGTAACGAGTTCACAACTCGGTACAAACATGCAATGAGATCAAAGCTGTCGCAGATTTACGATGAGCTCAAAACCAACACAGACCTACGATGAGCTCAAAGCCATAACAAACCCGCAATAAGCTCAAAGCCACAACATACTTACGACAAATTTGAGGTCACAATGGACCTGCAATGAGCTTAAAGTCATCGCAAGCCTGCGATAAGCTCAGAGCCATCACAAATTGGTGATGAACAAAGTACAATGATCAGCTAGTATTGCTCATGAAAGGACACCCAATAAGATTAAGAAGGACATGTCAGACTAGCACTGACATCAACCATGCCATGCTAGTATAGGAGACCCGCAAAAGGATGTAGCACATGTGTATTATGAGAATCCTCAGACGAAATGTCTTGGGGAGATCTCATAAGACAAGTGGCAAACCCTTAGCAAGTATCCCCCTAACAACTGACACTGAATCAAAGATTCCTTTTCCAAATGGGAATTAAATTCTTTTGGCTCCTTCTTTTAGGACCTCAGGATCTCTCCTTATAAATGGAGACATGAATCATAACGGACACAACTTTGTTGATAGAAGTTCTTAGTCTATCCTTGTTTCCAGCCATCCTTTGTCCTTCAAGGAAACCACCACACTTAGCGTTGCCACATCACTCACATTAGAATCTCTAGTTTATTCCTTGATCACAAAGGATGGCCACCTATAGGATTAACCTTTCCCCTGTCTTTAATGAACAACCCAACGACCATGAGATCACCATCCCAAAGGTCGGAGACCAGATTGGTCAGGACTCCACCGAAAGGGCGACATCTAGATCTTGGCCAATAATGTGTATGACTTTGAGACCCGCTTTGACCAATTGGAGAAGATGCAGGTCGAGATGAGGAACACCCTACAGCTACTTTTGCAAAAGACAATGACAACCAAATATTCCCCATTCATGCCTGCCGGCCCCTTTGCATCTGCCCCTGCTAACCACCCTGGAAACTTGAATCCTGGAACAACTGAGCATCCTCCCAAAACCAACCTTGCACCTGTACCAGACACAACGCAGAAAACCTATTTCTCTGCCATTGAATAGCCCTATGTGGTCCCACGAGACAACATGATGATAGAGATACCCATCAGCCGCACTGAGATAAAAGAGTATGTTTAGGACTTAATGGACGAGAGCCACAACAAAGCCCAATCCACACTCGTACTCCATAATACATAACAAAGTGGTTCACCCTCAAACAAAGGTTGCCGATGGCAGACCTACACAATACAAAACAACATGCTGGAGAAGACCTTCTAACTTATGTCATGCAGTTCTAGAAGCTGACACATTTAGTCTTTGATGAGCATGCAACAGAGAAGAGTTTCGTGGAACATTGTGTGCAAGGGATGCACCCAGCCTACAAAATAGGGATCGAGAGCATTGAAGTTGAGACCTTCATCCTATAATGGAAGTACAAAGATGGAACAACACGTACTGTCACAAGCACCGCATCTCAACCAGTTTCAACAGCATCGCATTATGTGAGAAACGAAGCATATGCCGTCAACCTTAGACCTCGGAACACCAGGGGGTCTAACCAAAGGCCTTATTATCGCGGTAGCAATCAGAATCGATGGAATGGCCCTCTACCACCATACCCTCCCCCTTTCGCTTGTAGTAAGAGTGAAGTTATTATGACCATGAACAAGCAGTGGAGGATCGTGTGATCAACCTGCCACCACCACCACCTAGAGTTGACCCCGAGAAAGAAAGGCATAGAGGGAGGTGGTGCAACTTCCATCAGTTACCAAACCATGATCTAATGGACTATTTCGCCCTTTTTGTATAGAAGGTGAAATTAGATGGTTTTGTTAAGAGAAAGATGACTCAAGTTGCGACCGACCCCCTCCCTGTACATCCCCAAGGGGGTAGTATAAATGTAGTGGGAACGTTGGGAGGCAACCGCGCTGACATGTTGATTCAACGGTCCAAGTAGAGCCCAGATTTGTAGTAGTTCCTCAATAAGAAGGGGGCTAGTGACACAACACGATGACTTGCCATCAAGGCACTAGAAGAGGCCTTCAAGAGGCCTCTCAAACCCCATCACATGGACAGGTCCCATGTAGAGTTCACCCCAGATGACATGTTAGCCATAGACCTCCATCACAATCAGCCTCTGTACATCACGACCAAGAAAGGGAGGTATGGGATGCGGTGCTCATTGGTTGACCAAGGAAGTTTCGTGAATTTGATCTCCCTCCACACCTTGAAGCTTTTGAACATACAAAAAGAGACTGTTAGAGGGCTACCCATGGAGGTCATGAACTTTAATGGGAATGCATTTGTCACAAAAGGGTTGATTGAGTTGCCAGCGACTGTTGGACCATTTTGCATCAACTAAGAGTTTCAAGTAATTTCTGGAAGAACAACATGCCATGCCCTATTGGGGCGACCCTTGATACATGGCTTGGTGCTGGTCCCATCCACCTACCATCAATGCATAAAAGCCAAGCACAAGTGCTGCACTCTCAGGATCCCATTGCGTTCAACTCGGCAGAACAAAGATCCACCTCCAGGACAAAATATTTTACACATAGAGCTTGCTGAGGAAGGGGAAACCAGAGTGACCAAGGTAGAAAGCGCCCAACTACTGAACCCGGTGAATGAGCCTCTAATGGTCTTGAAAAGGAAGAAACAATCTAGGTGTGTATGGGTGATTGATGAAAATGGGGAAAGGTACTATATGTTTATAAATGAGTATAAGGATGTTGACACACTGGCCACAAAGAAGGCCATCCCGGAGGTATGATTTATTTTATTATTGCATAGTATAAATTTCAAAAAAAAATTAGTTGATCATTGTAATTTACATGACTTCGAAATAAGAAAAGACAAGCATACATATTCTAAATCTTGTCTCAATCAGAATTATTACACTACCATGAAGTCTTTGTGTAAGAACATTGTGATGGTCTCATCGCAAGAGAAATTTGACTAGACAAAACAAAACTTAATAGCCTTGAAGGTACAAAATAATGTACTTAAAATACTCAATTAGTAGTGAGAAAAATACTAAACTACGTCAGTAACAAGAACAACCTAAGATACAGTGGAATATTATGATGAACTCCACGTGCCCCCTAGTCACATGCAAGACTCCAATGGCGCTATGGAAGAAGCTCTAGAAGAAATTAACATGGCCATTGAAGTAGTAGAGAAAAGATCATTGTATGTGTCGTTCAAATTAGAGCATGAAGAAAGAAATAAGTTGTTAGATCTCTTAAGAGGTATAAAAACTTTCTTCTCTCCAATCACAAAACTAAAATACATGTCTAACACAACTAAACTATCTTTTTTTCTCATATCAATAGAATTCCAAAATGTCTTCGCCTGGTCGTACGACCAAATGCCCAGATTGGACATAGCATTAGTCAAGCACTCACTCTGCATTGATCCTAAGTTCAAGCTTATGAAACAACCACATAGAGTGTTCAAACCAGAAATAGTTCTGAAAATCAAATAGGAAGTTGAGCGACTCCTAAAAGTGGGTTTCATAAAGCCAATTTCTCACCCACAATGGTTAGCCAATGTTATTCCAATCAAGAAGAAAAATGGTCAACTAAGGTTAGTACCCAAATCCTAGCACTTTAGCTTATGACTATCAGTAAAGGACTAGTGCATTGACTTCTTCCCACCCCTACCCTAGGTGTTGTGTCGACTTCAGAGACCTAAACAGAGCCTTTACCAAGGCTAAATTCCCACTACCAAACATGAAAATCCTTATTGATGCCATGACCGGGAACTAGTTGTTTACCTTCCTAGATGCATACAATGGATACAATCAGATATATATGCATGGACCCTATAGATGCACCCCAAACAGTCTTCAAAACATCAATTGGGAACTTTTACTACAAAATGATGCCCTTTGGTTTGAAGAGTGTTGGAGCCGCATACCAAAGGGTGATGGTAAGCGTCTTCCATGATATGATGCATAAAGAGATAGAGTGCTATGTGGATGATATCATAGTAAAGGCAAAGAAAAGTGAGGATCACTTTGAGGTGTTGAGAAAAGTATTTACAAGAAGTTGGGCCTTCAACTTAAGACTTAACCCACTTAAGTGCGCATTTGGAGTAAAGTTAGGAAAATTCTTGGGGTATTGAGTTGACCATACCGAGATTCATCTAGATGAGAATAAAGTGAAAACAATCTTGGACTTGCCACCCCAAGCACTGAGTCACAATTAAAAACATTCTTAGGGAAAGTCTCTTACCTTAAAAGGTTCATCCCTGGTCTAGCACATATAGAAATACCCTTCTTAAGTTAACCAAAAGTCTACAGAGTATAAATGGTTGACATAGCATCAGCAAGCTTTTGACTAATTGAAGAAGACACTGGATAAAGCCCCAACCATGTCCCCTTCGGAGAATGGCCGATATTTTAGGTTATATATAGCATCCAACTCAGAAGCCATAGGATGTCTATTAGCCTAGGAGAATGATGAGGGAGTCGAGTGTCTGGTCTATTGCACTAGTAGAACACTAAAACCGATAGAGAAGAATTATTAACACATGAAACAATAGTGTTTGGAACTAGTTTTTGCTGTACAAAAATTCATACACTACATCCTAGGCCATAAGGTGAAACTGATCTTAAGAAGTGATCCAATCAAATACTTCATTAGCAGACCCCCACTCTCTGGAAGACTAGTGAAGTGGATGATGTAGTTAAGAGAATATAGGATCAAGTACACCCAACCTAGGGAAAATTAGATGCCAAGTAGTCACAGATCTCCTAGCTGCCTTCCCCACTAGTGATGATTTTCCCATCTCTGAAGAGATACCCGGAGAACTCCCTCTTATTATAGTAGTAGATGCAGAATGGATCCTAACGTTTGATGGTAGTAGTACCAACTCCTCCGCAAGATCCAGAGCCACATTGACTT